TTACAATAATTAAATAATTTAAAGAGGTTCATTACTTTGGAAAACTTTATTTAACTTTATATTATGTGAATACATGACAAATGAAATAAGTTAATGAACCATAACAATTGAATTTAGAAGATAGGAACTTTTTGACTGTAGGTACTCGCCAAGTTTGAAACATTTTAGAATAAATAAAGCCACCATTTCATTTTCGAATGCGTATTGAAGAACTTGGCTTGACTTTGATTTCACTTCTTTTTGGGAATAAGTATTTTCGCGCACTTGGCCATTTTTTCACATGAAATGTTTTTGTTATGATTTCACTAATTTCTTTTTGCTACTGGTTTCTTGAACTCCTAAAACTTGCTTTCGTGAAGGCCACTCTCGATCATTGTTCCTATGCTTCCTATTCGGTCCTTTTCGAGCTTTAATTCGCGGAAGTTCAGGACGATATAATGACCTTAATCGGTTGTATTCAGCAATTGCGGACACTTGCGCTTTAATGTTATTAGTATCTAAGTTTATTAGATGAACTCCTTCTAAACTTGAAACTCTGAAAATCGCCACATATGCCTGGCCGCATGAAAACACCGATAAACCTATCAATAAGTGCATAAGAAAGACTTAAGCCTTGGCTTTTGGGAATGGTGATAGCATATGCAATACACAAATTGGAAATTGTTCTCTGTGGACGCATGCACGACTAATAATGTCAAGTTTTGTTTTGACAGGAGAAATTTCATAGTGAAGTCTATTGTTAAATTTTGTTTGAAAAGCTTTGACTTTTTGATTCTGATCCGCATGCCATTTCACTTTTTGAATAACTCCTATAGAACCATTTACCAGACCCAAATTATCATCTATATTTGGCTTTAACATAATTCTAACTCCTTCTTTGATCACAATACTTTCTTCTAACCCCGCTGTCATTGAGTTATCCTCTTTATGTTTTTTAAGCGCTTCACGGTCTCTTTTTAGAAGAAATTTTGGAAAGTTCAAGTTATCCGAAGCGATCAATTCAACATATGGACTAGAAAGAGCTTCGAGCATTGAATGCTGCTTACAAATACTGTGTATTTGAGAGAAGAGTCTGGGGAGCAGGCATACGGAGCAACGAAGGATGCAGATTGCAGAACGATATTCCGCGTGTGGCTAAATTCACTAAAATGTTGCACCGATCTTAATGGGTTCATTTAGGATCGGCTAAAATACGCACACATAGCTTGCACATACGCACTGTTTTTGGAGCAAATGGTCCCAGGTTCGATTCTCGTTGAAAGCAATACCTTTTTTTTTGCAGATTTTGTTTTTTCTTAGGGTTTTTATTTTTCTTTTAAAGAATATTAGGAGGACGGGTTAATTTGGATTAGCTCTGTTTGGCGCAATACATTTTTTTTTTAAGTTCTGCTTTTTTTTCTTAGGATTTTCAATTTTTTTTTTAAAGATTATTACGACAGGTTAGTTTGGGTTAGTTTGGATTAGCTCTAATTTCGTTTAGAATACCAACATACAAAGACTGGCCCTTATCACGAATTACGGTGGAGCTTCGTCTGTCTGCTCCCCAGACTCTTGTGTTTAACGATAGTGATAGTGAGTTTTTGTTTTATTTTCATGAGTTTTGCCATAATTCATATCAATATGCCAAATTTTAGCCTTTTAGCACGTTTGGAAGTACCTTAGAATTTTGATGATCTATACATGAGTGAGTTATAAAATTGGCGTTTTTAAGGCCATGTAACTTTTTTGTTAGTTGATGGAAATCGATGAAATTTAGTTTTAGTATTAGGTCTGTAAAGATCTACGACTGTGCAAAATTTCAGTTTTCTAGGACACTTCAGAGCTGAGTTACAGGTAGGTCGAAAATGACCTGAAATGTTTCAAGAAAAGGTATACAGTAGTGTGCGAATTTGGCGGGGGGCACTAGATACAGGACATACAGGACATAATAGTAACAATTATATAGGTATTTTTCACTTCTTATGAAGATAAATTTGGCTTTTTGAGTAGATTAAAACTTTTTCTTCAGTCAGATTAGTCTTTTCGAACAAAACGTACATATGAAAACGCAAATTAAATAAAGGTCGCAATCTTAAATAAATTATAAATTTATATGAAATCACTGATCCGATAATACAAGAACATGCCATAACTTTCTTGAAGTCGGAAAAATTACACCCAAACATCACGGAAACTGAAAATCTTTATTTTGAGCTGCAGAGTATAGAATAAATCGTGATTGCATCAAAAAATATACAGACGTCTCTTTAGCAAATGCGTTACTATACCAAAAATTAATATCAAAATGGATTTTTTGTTTGTTTTTTAAATCACCTTTCTACTTCAAAATCCTTTTATTTATTAACCTAAATAATTTATCTTAATATCATCTTCTCAATATAGTCAATAAAGAGCTCTATACATACCTACTTAACCTCGGGGTTGAGAAAGAAATTTAATTTCGGATAATAGTTCCTAAAAGTAAATTTCCTTGAAAAATATATATTTTTATTATTATATGGAAGGCCAAGAAATCGAAAACAAACACATCTACATCTGCGACAAAATTGAACTGACAGAAATTATTTAGATCTGAAGATTCTTGGGCTTGTACCAATGTACCATTCAATTTATTGCTAGAAAGAAGAAGTGATATGCAATAATGTCCGCAAATTCCATCAAGCCTATCAAGTGAATATTCCCCAAAATGACAAATTCAAACTAAAGTGCCGGAACCACGAAGGATACATACTTAATGCGATTCGGTAACACTTACTTTTTTCGCCAAAAGTTGAAAGCACCAAGACTAGTAACCAGCAATCATTTAAGTCTTTGCTAGAAACACATATATTCAGATAAGAAACTAACCACGGAATTAGCCCATACACTAAACTTCAAGTTTCGCCTTGAAGACCTGGAAATTAGACAACATCCAGAAAATTAAGTACCAAATTAATTAGAGAAAACCAATCAAATCTATCATTGCTTGCCGAAATTACTAAAACTCCAAATATTTGGACTATTTTTCTTCACTTCTTAGCGGTGATTGTAATAAGGCTATTAAGTACACCTCGCTAGAACTAATCGAACTAAGATGAAGGAGACTCACGGAGGTGAATTCAGATGTTTAACTACCCCTTTCATATTTAGGTATAGAGGAGAGTTTTGCCTGTATAATTCCAACTTAGATGTATTTTCTTGTAAAATTGCACTCCATATATAGTTTTTGTTTTATACATTTCGCACCTTTAGTAATCATTCGGAGCCAAGGTCGGAGGTATTTTGCTCAACTTAGATTACATTGTCCAAGTAAAATTCTCGGTGAAATGTAATGAATATTTAAATTTTAGGCATAGTAGAAATAAATAATTTTTTAAAACGACTAGGTATGTTTTTGATCCTTTCTAATTTTATCAGTAGGTGAGGTATTTTTTTGGGGTTCTTGGATCAGGAATTCAGGATCTTGCTATAAATTAGTGTGTCTTGTTCTGTATGCGATGTTGGTGGCTGAGTAATTTTCTTGATACAGCGTTTTTTAAAAAGAAATGCCCTTATACCTATATGCATAATGTTCTACAAAAAATCATCGTGTGTGACAAATGAGACCCTCTTTAATTGTAAGTTTGGTTTGTTTGTTTTTTTTTTTTTACTTTCCTGTTCGGCTGTAGCTATTTTGTTTGTGTATATGTAACGAAGTAGTTTTATTATGTTTCATTTTTTATTTATCGTTATTTTTTAATTGTGTTTTTTATCGATTTTGATTTAAGTTACTTTGCTTTTTATGAAAAATTTTGTCCAAATCATTGTGGTTGAATATTTTTAACATTTTTAACATCTCAAATGACTTATTTCTTACGAACTACCTATCTCGTTACTTCAGAGCTTTGAAAAAGACGATATATTATTCGAAACGTCGGCATATTAAAATTGGGTTTTAATACCTAATTCCTGATCGAAGAACCCCAACCTTACCCACTGATGAAATAAATTATTTAAGAAAAATCAATTTAAAGTTATTGATTTATGAGTTCTGGTTTTAAGTGATTCTCAGTGTGACTATAAATTAGTAAGTAAATGCTTTAAAGTTTTTTTTTTTTACTTTGGTAATAGATACAGCAATTTTTTTTGAATAAGTGCCTCCAATAAACTTCGAAGGTAACTTTGAAAACTCATTCTCTTTCGAGTTCTCTTCCATTACGTAGTCATTTTTTGTGTGCAATCAAATCAGCTGTTATCACCCAAGGGTTCTATTCACCACCGATACTACTACCCAAAAGAAGGCATAAAAAGGTTCTAGAGGTCACGATAAAAAATATTTGTTGATATGATATCTCATTGAAAAAAATGTGAATAACTTCGAAGAATTATTAGTACCTATTAGGTATGTTAGAATTTTTATATCATGTCTAGTATATTAGCAAAGCCTATAGATATTAGGTATATTATGTAGGTACATATTATCTGCAAACGTTTAATATAATTTTGATATTAGTTATTATGTACTATGTCCATATTATTTATTGAAGCTATTTTTGATAGTTGTTTATGTCAATCAATCATTAACAGAATAGCAAAATGCTGAAAAACAAAGTTCAACAGGAAAAAATTGTTTTTCTTATTGAGGCGATTTTAGATTTTATTCACATTTTTTTGGATTTAATTTATCAGTACCTAATTAGTGAGTGAGTACCTACATTTTTTGATAGCCATCAAAAACATAGCAACAATGCAACGAATATAAATAAGTAGATATATTAAAAGAAAATCAGAGAATTTATCAATCATACAATTAGAGTTAGAACGAAAACACTTTTAAAATGCAACCAACGAAGAAAATTGAATTCAAATTTTTTTGCAGAAACTCTGGATAATATCAATTTTTGCAAAATTCTAACTTGTTGATTTATTATTGAAGCTGATTTTCAAGAAAGGTAAACATGAACAGAATTCATCAAAATTAAAAAATCAAATTGGGAAGTTTTAGCAAAACAATAACCTTGAACTTCAAGCATTGTACTAACCCTGACAGTATCACGTAGATCATCGAGGGCGATTGCCATTGGGTCCTCGCCAGGATTCGTACCAAAACGTTGCTGAGCCCTGAGACAATCACCGGAGGGCACACAACACCTGGTATAACCAAGCCCTTCAAGACCACCTAAAACCATGTTGTCCATCCCGGTAGCTCGGCGCGGGGCCATGAGCGTGGGCGCGATACGCAAGAACCTTGACGCGAGCGTGGTGCTAAAAAAAGGTAAAGAAACGCGAGAGAAAGAGTCAGTTATCAGCACCAGGACTCCACGGAGCCAACTGCTTTAATGCGGTGCCGGTGCGTGAAACACCGCGTGGCCTGGCGGAGGAAACGAAGAGAAAAGCGAAAGGAGGGGGGTCACTTTCGGTTTCGCGGCGCCGGGACGTGCGCCGCTTTTCACTCTCGGAGGCCCTGACCGGGGGCGAAAGCGCCGCGACGCCACCGCTGCAACAGCCCCTGAATCCTGTCGAGGCTGCAGCGAACGATCCCTGCTGCTGCTGCTGGCTGCTGGCATTGACACTTTTTTGGCTCGCTCGCTCGGGATGTTTACGCTTTGATTTTGTTGCTCACAAACTGTTGCGAAAAGTTTTGTGTAATCACAAAATATTTACTTACAACTCGAGAAAAGCAGAAGCTTGAGACAAGATTGACTTCGTTTAGATTTCTCGGATTTGAAATTTTAGGAGCGACTTTCTGTGATACAAATCACAAGTCAGAAATCTAAAATAAGGATTTTATCCTAACTAATTAGCCAGATTAGAGCCAGTTTCACAAATAGCGGGAACCCAAACCCATAATATATCTGTTTCATTGTATCTCAGCCAAAACTTAAAACCATTGATGAACCTTCAGCTTATTTAACTCAAGCCATATTTCCCCTTATGGTCAACCCACAACTATAGCTCAACAAGCAGCCCAGGTTACCACCAATTGAGAAGCTGGGCCTTAGCTTCAAAATATTCTCTACTAGGTATAAGAGAAATTGAAACTCCCTATTTCATATAACAGTAAAAAAATCTTTCCGGTTTACACTCGAGTAACTCAATAAACTTTTACAGATAGTGGCGTGACACTCGTGGCAAGGTTGTTTAAGAAAGGTAGGTTGCCTGAATACTTTAATGACGTCATCTGGGGTGCCTCAACATAATGCAAATCTCCATAAGGCACCTCAGATGCGTCATCAAGTTACCCATTACCAGAAAAACTATGAATGTCAGCAACCTTGTACTCGTAGTAGAATTCTCGCCGCCATATTGTGTTAAGGGTAAGCCTAAGTGCGCGTTCACATTGACACCGCTCGAGCGGTGAGCGTTGCACGATTCCGCTGTTGTGATGCCCAAAAATAATTTTAACATTATATTTCAAATGAACATGTTCACAATAGAGGGGCGCGTCCCGTGGTGTTAACATGTTCATTTGAAATATAATGTTGAAATTATTTTTCGGCATCGCTACAGCGGCATCGCGCAACGCTCACCGCTCGAGCGGTGTCAATGTGAACGCGCACTTAGAGTTAATCGGTTGCATAATTCCAAGTGCGCCAGGGTTTGACGTTTACTTCTTATATCCCGATGGCTACTCAAATAATTGTGCCATAATTTAGTTTCGGCTTTTACACATCAGAGATACAAATCTAAAAGTTCGCCATAGGCATCGCAATCATTTGGTGTTTGTTGTCCCGTCAGCGAATGCATAAAGCCTTTAAAAATCTGTTTATGGTTAGCAAATCTCTCTTCTGACAGACCAATGAAACGATCGATAAATGAAATATGAATGGCAATTCTAAAGGCCGTATCAGACGTGCCGTTGTCGATGACTATTAACGATTACGATTGGGAATTCGACCAATCTTAATGTATCTGCTTCTGGTTGCGATTGCCGTTGTATGTTTAGGTTGGAGTCTAAATTTTACGAGGCCGTTCTGAAGCGTAGCCAATGAAAGAGCTTTATGAACAGCATGTGACATGTGTCTAAACGTCACTTTTTTGTTTCGTAATTTATCGCTTCTCCGGTGTTGCACTCAAACCTATTTTGGTTTGGATCTTTCTCTTTCCTCTTCTTCCAATGTAATCATCCCAACAAACACAAGTACGTCTTTAGTACGTCCATAATTCGAACTTTTTCAGACGAAAGTACGTCCCTGGACGTACTTTTTAGGTCCCGCCGACGTACGAGGGACGTCTTTAAGACGGTCGTTTTCTACAAAATAGTACGTCCCACGTGCCATTCAGGGACGTACCACGTACGTACATTCAGGGACGTACTCTTTTTTGGTACGTGTTGGGGACGTACATTAACGTACCCAGCAAACACACTACATACTTAAAACGTCCATTTTATGTCATATTTACGTCCGTACGTCATATGACCTATTCAGAACGTACATAAGAGGTACACTTTTGTACCTTTTATGTAGGTACATATTATAAACATCCATATTACGTACAATTACGTCCACCATTTTGGTTTTATGTTTAAAGTGTAAAATACAAACAGATCTGTAGGAATTTAAATTTGAATAAAGTCTGTTTTTTTTTTTAAGATAAAAGTCAAAATGACATTATGTTGGCAATACAATGTGAAATTGTGAATGCTTTCAAATTTTTTATGTAGAAAAGGCTTGTGTTGCCAACATAGTTACTAAATTTTTGATTTCGGGAATTATATTAAAAAAAAAAACAGACATTCTTTGAATTTCGCTCTCATTTATGGTCATTTTGAAATTTAATAAATGATGACGTAGATGTTAGGGTAGTTAGCGAAAGAAAGGTGTAATATCCTTGTTCCGAGATTGAGGTTATGTCGTTATGTCTTTAGACGATTTCGCCACGTTTTGGTTGGTAGGTAAATTGGTTAACCGCTAGGTAGGCTCTTCGTCACAACAGTGACGTCGCATACCATTTTCAGCCGAAATCGGCCGGTTTACCAAATGTCACGTGAATGGCGTGATGCCCGGAATGGTGATGGTATGTTTGAGAAAATAAAAATAAACAAACTACTGAATCCTTTTTATTGTTGGAAATTAAAATTAGGAATAGAGAAAATTAATTGTGTTTATTTATTGTGTTTAATTTTGAATATAAACAAAAAAGTGAGGTTGAAAATCTCCAAATTAGAGAGAGTTAGCAAGCTACCAATTTAAATAACCGTGCTCCAAGCTCGGTACCCAATTTGACATACCAAAATGGATACCAAAGTTATCGTGACGTCATTGTTTTTCGTGCCGAAATTGGTTGGTACATTTTTGACCAACCGACGTGGGTTACCAAAACGTGGCGAAATCGTCTTTTATTAGGCAATTCAATCCATCTGTCAAAGTGGAAAATTCAATATGGCGTGGCGGCCAAGCAAGTTTGTTTTGAATATGTTTTTATGCGTCTTTTAAATTAGTGTTTTTTCTCCAAACGTCAAAAAAACATCACTTTGTCAGCACCTGTCAAGATGTTAGAAATTTAATTTCTATGCTGGTAGGCAAATCCAGCGGGTTAACACCTGACGAGGTGGTAGAAATTTAATTTATATGCTGCTAGGCAACCGCAGCGGCAGTAGAAGTACTTTTAGTGCCGCTGGAGCGGCAGCAAAAGTACTTTTAGTGCCGCTCGTACTTTTACTGCCGCTTAACCATCTAGTTACCCCCGAGCTTACCCCATTCGTTTGGAGAAAAAATAGCGTGTTGCATACGGAGTAGAAGCACTTTTTTGTGCTGAAGCAGTAGGATTGCGAGCCGAACGTAGTGAGGCTTGCAATACTTCTGCTTTGCAATAGCTTCTACTCCTAATACAACAATATACTATTGTTTTGCTTGCAACTTTGATTTTGATTATTTAATAAAATATGCTGACTAGGTACCTGAACTATTAAAATGGGCAGAAACTAGATATTTTTTTGTGTTTTTTGGCCCATGTGTGGCCGCCACGCCATATTGAGTGTCACGTGGTTTGAATTGCCTAATGTCTTATGTGAGGTGGCGAACGACACGTTAGGTTAGAAGCCTGTTAGAAATTTTGTGCAAAAGTTATGTAAAAATTGTTTAATAAAGAATATACAGCAACAATTTAGTTAATTAGACTCATCCCTACAAATTCAGTAGTGAGATAAGCAAAAAAGTTTATGTGTTATTGTAATGTTGATGGATGTTTCCAGATCAGGAGGCTAAAAATTATTCTACTGTAGACCTGCTCTAAGGTTGTTATAGACAGAATATTCCCAATTTTAATAATAAATTGAGTTCAGTCAGTTCAGTGAAACAGTGTTGTGCTAATTAGAGGTGCTTTCCAGTGACCCATTTGAGTTACTCCTGAGCAGCTCAGGAGTGCTCCACAATTGCTTTGCGCGTTCCAGTGCTTAGAGTGTCGTACACTTGAGCTACTCATTTCTGTTATCCCCTGCTCCCTCGTGCACCAACCCTTTTGTCTGTGTTTCATGCTCCTGAAATCCGAAATGGTGGGGGTTAAGACGAGAGCGTTCCAGTGCTGCTTATGTCGAACAGTTCAAGAGCGTCACACTTCAGGAGCATGATACTCTAACAATTTAGGCACTGGAAAGCGGCTTAGTTTACCAGAGTCCCAACCCAATCAATCCTTAACAGAATATGTTGTTGCAGTTCTTTTAGGTTATGCTTTATTTATCTAGGAATAGTTGCAATACTTTTGAATTAATGTTTTTCTTTTGCTGTTATTCCAGGTTTAGTCAGCTAATAGCGAATAAATAATAGACGATTTGAGTAAAAACATCCTCTTTTATTTGGTTTGCAATATGTACTTAATTAGGTCTTCAAGATGTATCATGGACGTTCTTTATGGCACTAAGTTGTACGTCTTTAGGACGTATTATGGAGTTGACATACGACTTGCCCAATACGTCTTCAAGACGTACTTGGCTCTAAAATCGACGTCTTACAAACGTACAGTATGTCATAACGTTACACCTTATGTACGTCTTTGGAATGTAATTGTATTTGTTGGGTACGTATTTAGTATAGCTTTTGTTACGGGATGATTTTTCCCGCACCAAAATAAAAGGAAATAAGCGTATTCGCCTCAATGAATAGCATACCTTCGTCAAGCCACTGTTGTCTTTTCAATAGTTGTGGCCAAACTTTTCATCAAACTTTTCATTTTTCCCAGAATCATTAAGTTAGAGGTTTATTAATGGAATTGATTTTCTGTT